TCATATTAACGGGAATCCTTTTCCGACATCTTGCCTCCCTAAGGCCAGTTTGCATGCAAGTTCGAAGCACCGGCATAGTTAAGTGGTAGAGTACTGGGCTGGCACGCAGCGGACCCAGGTTATAATCTCGTTGTGTCCTTAGTGTTTTCTATTTACCGAGTTTTTTTTCTTTTGATACTGGTTGCGGACAGCAGCGGTAGCCTCGGTGGACAACTACGGCGCCGCACGTGACCCGTAACAGCTTTCACTGTAAAATTGAAAGACACTTTGTAAATTCCAAAGTGTGTTCGGCCATAGCTTATGACCATTTGACTGACGATGCTATGTTTTTGTTTGTTTTATTTATATATATTTTAGTTATTTATTGTTTTATTTTTTACACTCTCCGAGCCATCACGCGATTGTCGAGAGAGTGTAGGGGAGATAGGCCACAACTGCCGTTCCAGGGCATGGATGGACGGGCGCGAGTATGATCCATTAAAGGTGCTCGGCTTAAAATTGGGACCAATGTAACGCTAACAGTTTCCTTGCAAAGACCAAAACAGGACTGGCTGCGATGCACCGGATCACGGAACTATATGAGTCATTTTTGCTGTTGATAACATGACGAAAGGTGAGGAACGCTAGTATTGAGGTCATTAGGCTTTGTTCTTCCGCTTTAGTTTCACCTTCAGGAGCTCCCGAGTGATCGCGTAGTTTACAGAGACTTGTTTAATAAATATTTGTTCTCTAATCTAGCTGGGGTTTTCGAGGATAGCCTTTCAACGGCGCGTTTGTATTAGTCACCTGCAATAAATGATTGAATTGTTAATTACTGCTAAGATGGTGCTGTCACCTCCAGAAATGTCGTTGGCGCCTCGTGGCGCGCACTTGTCTCACAGATGGGCCGCATTTAAGTGTAACAGCCACCGAGCGGAAGGTGGCGCTATAGGCTAGCGTGGGTTATGGGTAGTTATGGGTAGCGCTGGCCAGTGGAGAGACGAAGCCGGCTAAAAAAATGGCGGCGTATTTGCGTGCCTAGCTGGCAAAGGTAATCGAAAGACGATAGTCTTCTCTCTGGAGAGAGAATAAAACATTTATTTGGCGTTGTTCGCGAAAGAATCGGTGAGTAGGCGCTGCGTCAGACATGATCAGTAATTTGAAAAAAAAACACAGAAAAAAAAGTTTTTTTTAGGATGCAAAGCCATTGGTTGGTGGCAGCACCATGTAAGTTTTAGTGAATCGTAGGAAACACCCGCTTTTTACGTTCATAGCGTTGCGTTGTCAGCGCAGCGTAATAAGCGCTGTGGTCTTTAGAATTTAGTATCTATGAATTTTAAAGATAAAGTGACACACTACATAATACTCACGTGTTAATGTTGCCCCCAAATATGTGTAATATTTGCATTTTGATCGACATTGTTCGCTAGTATTAAAAGAATCAGGAGATGAAGATGAATGGAGTGATAGACAGAAAGAGAAAGACAAACAGACAGACAGAAGAACTTTCCCAAGAGCCTTAAAAAAGATAGAGAGAGATAGAGAAAGAGAGAGGATCTTTGAGCGTTGAGCGGTGATCGCGCACGGACGTCTCCTGCGGGCATGGTCCGTGAGTGGCGGCAACCACGAGTCATTTTCCCGTGAATCCTTCGTGTTGAGTCGTACAGCAGCGATGCCGAATTCACGTTACCTTGAGTTTGTTTGTTGTTATGTTGATTGAGTGTTGTATTGGAATAGTGCAGAAGATTGTAGAGCGTGTCACTAGTGACGCACTTGAGTCGGCTGAAGGTGTTCTTGTAAAAGCAAGTGAATAAATGAACACGTGTTTGTTCGGTTTACCCGACCGCGTATGGAGTCTACCTGTGGCCCGAGTGCAGGTATTTGCCACAGACCCCGCATTATATATTATTTAATGACTTGCAAAACTGCGTATGTGGCACAGACTGCACCAATAACGTTGTATAATTTGATTTTTACAGCTCTAATTTAAACAAAAATTAGGCGTATAGTTTGGAAGAAAAGCTGGGGAAGTTTGCGTTAAGCCACACAAGCGTGAAATAGCTAAACTGGATTATTCTGAAGACTTCTAGTCTTCTAGGTTGTTTCGTGGCATTAGTTAGGGGATGCAGGCTTTTTCTAGGTTGGTGTCAGCGTGGAGAGGTCCGAGTTATATCAGAAAGACCACACGGGCCCATCGTCGTTCGCATAGGCCATCCGTTGCTTCGGGTTCTTCCGTTTTCTAGTAATCTCTCAGTGAACGCACTCGGTTTCTTCGGCTCGCCGCTGTCGCTTCGTAGCCATTTGTTGTTGGGCTAACTGTTGTCTTAGTTCTTCCAAGTGCACCAGTGGGGAGTATAGTGGAATATACCCGATTCCTGTGGCGGACACCTGCTCAACGTTGAGAAATTGCAACTTGGGGCTTAGTTAGCAGTTTTAAGACGTGTTATTGCTTGTTTATCAAAACTATGAACGCTTTTTGAAAGTTAAACACAATCAAAATAGAATCTAAATAGATTTTGGAAGTTTACGTCAGCTTTGAGATTAACAGTGAATTAGTTCTTGGCAGACAGCGTCGACTATAGAGCAGAAATATATTCTTCTGTTGTTTACCCCTCAAAGCTTGCTTCTTTTATTTTGAGAAACTGATATTTTATAACCATATTACGTTCATCTTGGGTTTTTTTTTTACATGTACTTTGACTTTTCAGTTTCACCGATATGTAGACCACCTTTCAGAGATCATAACAAATGAGCTGCTCGTTGGTACACAATGCCAATATAAACACACGCCTTTATTTGACAGTCGGCGCTGCTTGAATGGTATCGAAACCAGAGATATTGTAGGTGGTGTCTCATTTCATATTAAAACAACACACAGGACTAGGTCGTGAAGTATACACGGCGTCTAAAAAAGTGTGTCTAATATTGTTTAAAAATCAGCAGAAGAGGCTATTTGCTCGCTGTCATGGTAATTTCTTTTTCTGTAGTGGCAGGAATCCTAAGAAGCTTGAATACATCTTTAGGAAGAGTAATTAGGACAGTTAAATTAATTAACAATTGCATTGGGCAGTTAAGTCTAATAAGAGAATTGAAGTATTCGAAGGGAACAACCGATAGCCGCTTTGAGGTTTTTGAAAAGTGGCGTCTACTAATAACTGCAAAATAATCAAATTCTCTCCCATTCTGCGGCGAAACTTAAACCGAAACACGAATGAGCGCAAGTAAAATGAGGGAGCGTTGTTACATAACCATCAACCAATTTTGTTTTGTGGATGTGTGGGCTTTGTTCGCAATTACAGCATGCAAGACGAACATACGTCAACGAACGGGGAAAAAACTGCACCCCTGTAACCACTGTTTTGAACTGTGACGTCATTGTAGTAGTCTGCTTGTTGCGCTCACTGGTCCTTAGCTTTCAGTTTCGCCGCAGAATCGAGGAGAATTTCATTAACTTGTAGTTATTGCTGGAGGCCACTTTCCCGAAATCTAAAAGTGGCAACGGGTTCTTCGCATCGAGGACTTCGATTTTCTCTTTTCAGTTAACTGCCTAACTCCACTAATGAAAAAAGTTAGTTGTTGAACTTTCAAACTTTTTTAATTGCTGTTTCAAATATTGTCTTAAACCCTATTAAGATGTTTGTAGCTACACCAAAAACAACTGTGAAGATAGCGAGCGAATAGCGTCTTTTGCTGATTTTTAAGCAGTATTAGACACATTTTTTGAAACACGCTGTAGATGTTCCTAGCTCGTAAAACAGAGGTATTTCTGAACTATATGTCTAATACCCATTGACTCCTTCAGCTTAACAAAGCCACCACATGTATTGCTGCAGATTGTCAATCCTTTGAAAATGAATTTCTTTTGTACGGTGGTGAAGCAAATAAATGAACAAAACACATTGGAGGGATGGACGAACTGCATCATTCCCAAGCAGCTTTCTTTCTTCAGAATCGTGCTATAATAGATTACGACAGAGGCATACTTCAGTGGGAATGCACAATGACTTCCTCATTTTTTATAAATGGAAGGTTCTTTTCGGTTAATTATGCTAGCGTTTTCTCGTACGCTATGTATTGACCTAATGACAAGTTATGACAACAAAGAAAGTTTATTAGCCCTGCTGTGGTAGCTGAAACGAAGCCATGGAGATAGCTATGACCCATGATGAACTAACGTTTGTACCAATTCCTGGTTAAGTAGCACGAAAATAGGAAAGAAAAAATACGCCATCTCCCGTTAAAGGGAACAATGTGTGAATGCGAAGCATCGCGGGGGATGGTGAGCAAAGCTCGTCTACGTCGCCTTAAGCAGGTGCAGCAGCATTCAGAACCTCTACCTGACTTACGCTGCCGGTAAACATTACTTGAAGCTGGTGATCATGCCTATAGCACTGCTAAACAGCCGGTCCCCCAACGCACACGCAGAGACACCGTACGTGATCATGTCCTAACCAAAGTAGACGCGCTTGGTCTCACGGAAACGTGGAGCGTCGCAAGATCGACGATCGACGACTACGAAGTGATCTTGTGTTCTAAGGAAGCGTCTCGTTGCCTTCGCCGCCGACTGGAGAGAAAGAGGGAGGAGCGTTGAGAGGACAGAAAAAGGGAGAGAGGACGCGTATGCGCTTTGGAAACCACGATAGGTGAAGCCTGGGAAAGGAGGAAGAGGGAAGGGGACGCGCAGGCGCAGTGAGGTGTGTACGCCGTAGGAGTGAGGGAGGGAGGGACACAGCCCCTGGCATAAGATGCTTGGCGTCTAAAAAGGAAAGTAAACTTAAGCATTAGTGTTCCATTTTGTTTTTTTGTGGTATGCTTTGTTTGTGCAGGGGCTTATCCAATCCAAGCTATTCCATTAGATAACGTAATATGTTTGCTTACTTGCATGTTTCCTGACTACCTGTGGAATGTCATGCGCGACATTCATAGCTAACCATTTTCCGGCTCTCAAAGCTGGTAAATAGTATACACCTAAAACTCAGCCAGTTACAGTGACTCTCAATAATGTGTACTTCTCTTTACAGCGCAAGACAAGAGTGAGGACCTCACAGTTAATGGAAACGAAATTATTGACAGCCTGCTGCGAGAGGCAAGGGACAGCGACTCCATACAGAAGAAAATAAACCCTGTCATCGTTAAGCACGTGGAACTCGACGACCGTAGGGGTCATGTCGACAACATATCTATATATGGCCTCCCATCCCTGAGTCGTCACGGTGACGTTAACATCACTTTTATCGACGAACATTTGGTCACCATCACGGGCCGACTGCGGGCAGATGACGTAAGTGCTGCGTGTCACGGGCTTTGCTGTCTTGCCTTTGCTTTGTATGCACGCGCTTGCACGCCACTGTTGAAGAGTGTGAGTAATGTGTGGTGCGTAAACTACTGCACCATCTATGCCGTCTTTTACCTCATTTCATTCGCAGTTGAACATGTCTGGCCGATACCTATACCGGCCATCACGTTTCTTCCGACTTCGCGGAAGCCTCGGTGCCATTCTCAACTACTTCGTTGTCGAAATTGGAATGGAAGTCAATACCGATCTGAATAGAGCCAGCGTTACCACATTCAAGGTAAGCAAGCCTGTAAGCTGTTGGCACGTGTTGGAGAGACGCAGTCTCCAAGTTTCTGCTTGATGCTTCAAGGGTTTTTTTTTAATAGCGCAGCTGTGAGAAAAGTCTCAGTGCAGAGTGAATAGAACGCAATCATCGTCATCAAGTGGTACGCGCTTTCTTCGTTTTCTTCATCTTGCGCTTCGCTCCCAAAACACTATAGCGTTGATTCATGTTGCGTGGGATGCAATAACTGTGCTCGGTGAGCGAACGGGTGCGAAGAGAAAAAGAAGAGAAAGGGAGATGAATCAGTAAAGAGAAAGAAAGAAAGAGAACCAAGAGAGAAACAGATAAGAAGAAACGGAAAGAAATTGACAGAGAGAAAAAGGTATAGTAAGAAACATACTATATAAAAGAGCCAGAAAAAAGAGAGAACAAGACAAAAATAGAACGAAGAGAGAACGAGAGAGCATGAAAGAAGCAGAATGAAAAGAGACAAAGATATATAGAAGGAACAGAGAGAGAGAGAGAGAGAGAGAGAGAGGAAGAAAGACAGAGAAATATAAATACAAACAAGGCAGGCTATCCAGCTCCGCGCTTTTTTCGGGCTTGTCATCACTAGGGCGAAGCTGCATAAATTTCTTAATCCGTGGGCGAAGCTGCGTTAATCACTTGCGTAGCCACGAGATGGCAAAACGTGCCCATCCCTTTCCCGATTTTTTTCTTTAGTGTGACATATAGAGCCCGAAGCGTCACTCGGGCACATCTGCCTGCCTGGTCCCTCCTTCAGATCAAAGTGGTGCACCCTCAAAAAAAAAAAAACAATTAGGCCTTGCGCATACAGTGCAATCCAACGTTACTGTGCAGTCCACTAATAACTATTTACAAATGCCAAAGAAATACTATCGTTATAACCGATATTTGTAACAAACAGGTGGATAAAAAAAGACTAAAGAGAGATTGAAACTTTTGATTTGCATGCAAGTAAGATAGTGGAACTGTGTACTACTTGTTTGCAGAAAAGGCACAGTCTGTCAGCTTTGCTTCACGCGAAAGTGGCGCACATATTTCTTACGAGCATCTACGTGCTCCGCGAAGGCGAGTGGGAGGTCCTTCGGTAAACAAGGTTCCGGAGGGACTACATGCATCATCCGCTGGGCCTCCTGCGACGCCATTGCCAGAGTAGGCTGCTCAACCGCATAATCGGAGTCGTTGCTCTCACCCCTCTCGGCAGCACGGCTTCGTTTCTGCAGAAACCTATTCACGGCGCGTGCTGTAGCCAGATTTAGTCACTATAACCGATATAGTGGCTCTGGAGCATCAAAATAAGCTGTTTATTTTACAATAAGAAGCATACTAAAAGTGGTTCGTGCCATCTTTGGTCATCGTTATATCCGATATACTGTAATAAACGGTATCGCTATAAGGAGACTCCACTTATATGCTAGCATGCTGAATCTAATAGAATTTAGTTGATGTTTACCGTGGTCCCATGTTTCTTCCTCTCGGGCATTGTACCGTTTGCGCTAGTTATGTCCCATTATGCTAGATACCAACAATAGTTAAACCCTATAATATCAAACATAGTTAAATCGCGTTATCCCTAATATCAAAATAGTTTTGAACACGGCGATGCTTAAACACCTCATACAACAATAATAAACAGAACACCTGATATATCGAACACCAGGCAGTGCGATATTCCCCATGATATTGCCCTTTTCTCACGGAAGACGACTGTCCCGCATGCATAGGGAGAGTGAGTGGTGTGATTAGGAGGATGCCGCCCAGAGCGAGCAGAAACTATCGCTTCCCATTCCCTGCTTGCTGCCCTGATTCTCCGTTATCTCGGCCGTCATTCGGGATCACCGTTCGCTTATCATCTCCCTTTAACCTGGTTGTTCTCCGCGAAACTGGCAATAGCCTATACAGTCTTCAGCATATAGAAGTCTGATGTAGCGGCGTACAGCACCCCTAAATGCACTCTGAATATGGAGTTGAAAGAAAACGCTAGCATTAGGGCCTAGAGGCTGCCGGATTCCGGCATGCACGCACAGCTGCGTTTGAAAATGTAGTCATTCACACCAATACCGTATTTTCTCGCGTACAACCCACCCATGCGTATGACCACAATCCCTGAAAAGCATTTCTTGTCCCAAAACTGCCACCTCAGTTTATTTGAGAGCAAGCGGTGGCCGCTAGGGCGCCGCAGTAATAGAAAGGCCACCCAGCGTAGCTGCCATCGTAGGTGACGCGTGTATTTTTTGCTTTTCCTGTAAGTCATGGTCGAAAGTCCCTCACTTTTTAGGCAATATTCACATTCCATTTTGTTGTAGCAGTCATACTAACTAAACTTCTGAGATTCTTTTCTTAGCGAAGACAAGACGCATACTAAAAGTAAACGATTTCCAATTCAGCTGGCGGCGCAGTGTGCCACCATGCATAGAAATTGTGTTACGGCGAAATTCGTCGTTAGTTAGCCAACACAGGCATCAAATAAAAGTAACATTAAAGTTACTGTGATGAGCTGTATAGAGAATAAGACATTATCGGCATGACAAGAAAATCGTTTCTAATTTTCATGCGTATCAGTCCAATTGCGTGACACGGTTTTCTAATATTATTTTTGTTCACAACATTCCCGATTAAAACCGCATATATTAACATGTACCCTTGACTACGCATTGCGCTTCTTCATCTCTATCTCTCACGTGCAGGGTGTTCATCGAGGATTGGCGCAAGTTTGAATTCAGTGTCGTACTTCCTTGACGAAAGCATAATGGGATTGTAATCACAATATTTCTGGTAATGATATGAAGCCGTGCAAATGTTTATGGCAAATAACAGCCAGTTTATACATTGGATAGTGTAGAGCTAAACGTACATCTCAAAGAAGTACTAGTAGGAGCGCAAACAAGCCATGACTCTCATCCAGCTTAAAGACCATGCAACCCTTTTCTGAGTAGGCATCGAGCGGCTTCAATAAAAAGTTCATTGCCTCAAGAATCAACTGCCCCAAATAAATTTAGAATCCCTTAATGTGAACGGAGTTACAGGGATTTGCTGCACGCTTTCGGTGCCTTCTATCATTTTCGTGCCTGCGAGCGAGCTGAAAGCTACGCTGGGAGGCGAGAAGCTGCGATGTTAATCAGCACGCACCATGACATTGTACTACACTTTTTGTTTGTTTTTTTACTGCGTGGATCACTTTCAGTGTATAGCAAAGAGCCCGTGCGTGGGCTCGTGGCGGCATCTCGCAGTGGTCGCGGTAACTATAGAGTTCGCGATACTCTAATCAGCCTATGGTTGGATTCGGGGCAGAGTAATTGGGGTTTGTGGAATCACTTTTTGAAAAGAAGATGGAGTGACTTGCAGCTGACTTTGAGAATTGTAAATCTCTAGCCACAAGCTGCGCTAGATTATTTGGTTCACGTGGTCTGAGGAGCGTCGACTACCGATCAGCAGTGTTTTCTGACCACGCTCAAGAAGTGTTGCAGGGTTCGTTTAAGGTGGCTCACATCTCTAGTTTTTACTCAACGTTTAGGACGAAGCCTTGACAGCGTTTCCTATAAAGCCTCTAAAAATTAAGGCAGCTTCGACTAGCGATGAGAGTCTGAAGAAAGTGCCGAGCTGGGTGGTCTTTTTGCTCTTTATTAAATGCGAAGCATTTCTTAGCGAACCTCAGCGACATTGAGCGTATCTATCTATCTATCTATCTATCTATCTATCTATCTATCTATCTATCTATCTATCTATCTATCTATCTATCTATCTATCTATCTATCTATCTATCTATCTATCTATCTATCTATCTATCTATCTATCTATCTATCTATCTATCTATCTATCTATCTATCTATCTATCTATCTATCTATCTATCTATCTATCTATCTATCTATCTATCTATCTATCTATCTATCTATCTATCTATCTATCTATCTATCTATCTATCTATCTATCTATCTATCTATCTATCTATCTATCTATCTATCTATCTATCTATCTATCTATCTATCTATCTATCTATCTATCTATCTATCTATCTATCTATCCGCTTACGTTTGGGTGCTCTCGTGGTCACCCCCATCACATGAACCCGGCGGCAAAATCCAGCCGATAGTGTCCATTTAATTGCCATTGCAATAAAAAAAGCAGTGTTAACAACTTTCTCTGGGCCCCTGATTAATACACATGTTGCCCACACATACAGTCCTATTCCTACCTATACGTGGTCTCGATGAGAGATCTATTTCTTTCAGAAAACACCTCATAAATTTCAAAGTGTGTTTGGCGAAAGCTTGTGGCAATGTGACTGACTATTCTATGCCTTCTTTGTTATTGTTATTTTTCTTTCGGCATGTGCAGCATCCAGTATAGCTTTTGGTACCGAGAGAATCAACATTTTTGGGGCGCTTCTCCGAACCGTCTTTCATGGGATCGCGTGCCGACGTGCTTGCCCTTCTCCTGTGAGACAGTCCCGCTAGCTGGTTTCCGCTCCAGGCACAACTACCATTTGTCTGCAAATTTAAGCACTACGCATATTTCAACTACAGTTTCCTCGTTACAGTTAATAACATCATGTTTGCTGAGCATCAATGTCAGAATAGCGAATGAAGTTTACCTGGGCGCTTAAGTTTCTGAACTGAAACAAGTGACACAATTGTGAATCTGTATCATGACTAGCCACAGACTTAGGGACGAATAGGTGACCGGACGTGAGCATCAGACATGAACGACTGTCACGATAACACGAGGGTAACGTTCTTGAGCACTTCCACCACTGTTAAAAACATTAAATTCGTTCTGCTTGGTTGACAATTTAGTGTGGCCTAATAAATCACTATTTCAATCCCCGAGGCTACTGCTGTGGTGCTATGTGATAATTGACCTCCTATTTAGGCCTGTGATTGTCAAGCTCGGTTACTTTAGTAGATGGAGTTATGTCTAAGCCTGGTAGCCTAGTTAAGAAATTCATTACTTTTGTTCAGGGAACGTATTTCCATCAACAAAAAGTATTGTAGTCAGCATCACGTTCCGTCCCCGGTTCCATAAGCATTAAAATATTTAGCATACAGTTTTCTGGTTACATCGCTAACATAATCAACGTGTTCACATTTCATTGCAGGTTGTTGAAATTGGAAATATCAAGGTAACAAAGTTTACCGGAGCGTCGTTCGCCTTCAACTGGCTTGGAAAGTTCATTGTCAACAAGATACTGAATGGCCGTAGCTTCTCAATATCTGAGCGTCTAGAAACAAGCGGTAAAAAAGCGCTAAACCGTCTTTTGGAGGATAAAGAAATTAGGTTTAAATGAAACGTGGGCGTCAACTTACCGTTTTAGTTTAACGTAATACTCGCCATATCTTATGACTTGAGTTGAATGATCAGTGTTTTGAGGTGGTGTTGTCTTCAGTGTTGGGTATATGATCAGTAATCGCGACCTCATTGAAATGTATTGCGAATGTTATTGTTTTTGGGAATAAATGTACAGTGTACGATCGCGCCTAATAAAAGATATTAACGTTGTGGTTGGAGCCGTGTGATGAAATCAACTAACTTACACATCGCCGTCATAGGAAGACCAGTGCTTCAGGTGAAGGGATATGACTGTGGATACATACTCGCTGAAGAAAGTGCAGTATGTGCAGTGTATTTACCATGGGTCTTTGTTCATACAACTCCCATATCGCTGCCGACGTTTTTGAAGACAGTTATATTTGTTGTCTCTGAGATTCCTTAAAGCCAGCCAATGAAACGAAGAAGGTATGTATGTACAATTCAGTAACACTCTCCCATCAACGTTTACATAGATGTATTGAAATTATTGGTGTTTCTCCTACTACAAATTTCACTGCTAGGAGCTGGAGCAATCCGCGTGCTTCCTAACCATAAAATAGTTATAATCACTACCTTTCAGGATGTGCCATCTCTGCAGTGTGCCGAACTGGAATGTTTGGCACATCATTAGAGTGAGAACAAACTTCGCCTGTGTGAGACGGGACGGGTAGAGAAGGACAGAGCAGACGCTCAACTAACGGTGTCTGGTTTGTCGCGGGAAATATAATATATACAGGGTGTTTCCAGAAAGCTTGCAACTAATAATCCGAAATTTCAGAAATGATGTATATGCGTGATACCTGCGGCGTTTCCTCCTCTGTGGCAGAAGGCATCTTCAAATGCGTGGAAACAATCATTGTGACAGTAAATATAGAAATCAACAGAATTAAATTTTTAACCAGTAGAAATAAGCGGTCGAGTCAAATAAATCAAGCTGTCTTTCCTGCGAATATTCCATGGTCACAATGTGGTTAGAAATTTAGCAAAAAAGAATATTTGTGCACACCTTCATGATGCTTTTTGTATAATACTGAAATAACACACGCACGTGGTGAATTTAAGCGCACAATAGACACATATAAAACTGCGCGAGCAAATAACGTGTCAACTTGATGTGAGAGGATAAGTACATTCGTGCATCGTTTCAGTTCTTAGCTTCTTCCCTGAAAAGACAAAAACCAGTGGATAGTGGGAGCTCTGTATAACTGCATATCTCACGTTTTGTCAGTGTTTATTTCATTCTCCCTTAGCGTGTTGTGGTACATCCTGCAGAAAATACAAACACTCACCAGCTGGTGCCATTCAAGCCAGTGACGACATTCTTTTTAATGTGAAGCACAATGCTCCTGAGCAAGCATATGCTGTCAATGAACAAGCAATATCGGCGATAACCAGAAGAGGCACAGCAACCGTATTGTTTTATGTAATGAATAGAGACCGGATTTTTAAGCCTCAAAAAGCGCGTCCTATAGGGGTCTAAAACAGGAAGGCAAAACAATGTTTTATTCCTCCAGTAAAGGCACCACAAATTTTTAAATAAATTTACATACTTTTGAGCGGAGACGTGTGAACCTCTATCTGCGATAAGAAAACAAGAAATGCTATCGTTAAAGGGGCCCTGAAACACTTTTTTGAGTAACCGTGGATTTAATTTACTGGAAAAGCGCATTGCTCACAAGTTCAACGCCGCGAAAATTTTAAAAATCCGTCCAATACGAGCGGGGTTACAAAGATTTGCCACTCGCTGCGATCGCATTATCTCTTCTCTCGTCACGACGAAAGCGCTGGAAGCTAAGCAGGGAGGGATGGGAGGGGCAAACAAAAAAACGTCATGCACGCCATGTGACCTTGAGCAATTTTTTTTCTCATCGAATACGCGGCTTTTTTAGTGCGATCGCGCGCACGTGTGGACAAGTGACGGCCTCTCACGGCGATTTCTGTAACAACTGATCGCGCCATGTTCAAATCAGCCACTGGCTGATAGATGGGTCATCTACGTGTAATATTCGGGTATATTCAGTGATTTGTCAAAGGAAGAGAAAGGAATTTTTAGCGGACTTTGATGATTTATTGCGAATTCCAGGCCACGTGCTGCGCTATAACATTTGGCTCGCGTGTTCACGGGAGCCTCTACTACCGATCGGTAGCGTTTTCTGACTATGCTCAAACAGTGTTGCAGGGCCCCTTTAAGGATGGCACAAACGCTCCCGCTGTTGAATGCAGCCACGCAATTATGCGTTATAGCACACGGTTCACCGAACATGGTCTCTCCACTTATGCTGCACCACCGTGAGTCAAATTTACACTGTCGAATCAACAAACTCAAGGTGTCTTTCTTTTCTGCATCATGGGGAATGGTAGATTAGTAAGCAAATATCTAAAGAAAACCAGATTCTGCCTATTCGCTGGGTGGAATCGCGTATAGAGCCAATTTTCCCCAGGTGGTGATCCACTCAATACATTAGGGCCGCTTCTTCACCCTATAGTGAATCCCTTAAGAAGCTTCTTTACAGTACCCACATTCGTTCATCGCTTGAATACACATCATCCATCTGGGATCCCGGGGGCACTTCACTAACACATGAATTGGAAGCAGTCCAGAATCGTTCAGTTTGCTTTATCTTGTCCAATTATACCCGCATGGCCAGTGTTACGCTAATGAAATCTCAGCTCAACCTTCCTGAACACGCCATTCGGCGTTAAATAGCCCGGCCAAGTCTCTTTCATACGCTTTATTATCATAACAGTAGCGTTCGCGAACATTTAGCTAAACCCCCCTCATTCATATCACCCAGAATCGATCATCCACGAAAAGTTCATGTTCCTAATGCAGAACCACAACCCATTTGCACGCTTTCATTCCAAGAACTACATCTCAATGGAATCTACAACCACGATCAGCTACCGCAATCACCGACACATCACGTTTTAAAGTTTTTTTTTACAAAACATGTTTGGAGCTACTAGATCTCTGCTTGGTGATATATATATATATATATATATATATATATATATATATATATATATATATATATATATATATATATATATATATATATATATATATATATATAATGTGTGTGTGCTACGTTGTCTTTGTTGACGTAGTTTATATATAATGTAGTTCTGTACTATTCTGCCAAGGATTGAAATTTCGTTCTTGTATATATTTATCAAGTGTTGTTTCCCGTTTTTGACATGTAATAACATGCCCCTCCCCTCTGTAATGTGAAAACCCTGAGGGTATAATAAATAAATTGAAAAAGGGTTTATTGGCGACTGTTGGAACGGTGGTCCTGCGAAGAAACACGATCGTGCAAGAGCAACGGTCAAGCAGATGCCGGCGATGATCAGCACGAGCCGAGCGAGCGAAGCCCAGCACCCAGTACCCAAGCGGTGGCGATGTTGCTTGCCAACGATGCTCTTTCTTCTTCACAATTTGCCCCCGCCGAAAAAGAGCCATCCTGGCGACCTAAGACTCTGGAGGCAGAGGGCTATGATATGGCTTAAGGCGGGCGACGTGGACGATGTCACGTCCACGCCGGCGCATGTCTTCAGATGGGGAAAGTGGCTCGATGAGAAAATTCACCGGCGAGGTGTGCTCCAAAACGCGGTATGGGCCCTCATACTTTGGAACGAGTTTTGAGGAAATGCCGGGGGTTTGGTAAGGAACAGCCAGCCATACAAGTGATCCCGGGGAATAGCTGTGGCTTTGTGAAGAGTCGGCGTTGTCTTCTTTCTGGCGCTGCTGTTCTTGTGACGTAAAGGTGCGTGCGAGTTCACGGCACTCTTCCGCATTTCGGGCAGCTTCGGACACAGATGGGCATTCGGATGCGTCAGGACGGTAGGGAAGGAGAGTATCGATGGTGTGGGATGGTTCGCGTCCATAAAGAAGAAAGAAAGGTGAAAATCCAGTGGTAGACTGTGCCGCGGTGTTATATGCGAACGTGATGAATGGAAGAATGCCATCCCAGTTAGTATGATCGGATGTCACATACATGGCGAGCATATCGCCAAGGGTGTGGTTAAATCTTTCCGTGAGCCCGTTAGTCTGCGGGTGGTATGCCGTGGTCTTGCGATGAACAACATGGCATTCAGAAAGCAGAGACGTGACGACTTCTGATAGGAAGGCTCGACCTCGGTCGCTTAGTAGTTCTCGAGGTGCACCATGTCGTAGTATGAAGCGATGAAGGATGAAGGATGCTACGTCCCACGCAGTGGCACTTGGAAGGGCGGCGGTCTCAGCGTAGCGTGTTAAATGGTCCACAGCGACTATGATCCACCGATTTTCATCTGATGTTGTCGGTAGAGGGCCATAGAGATCAATTCCGATCCGATCGAAAGGTTTTGCAGGGCACGGAAGCGGTTGAAGTGCACCGGACGAGTGGAAAGGCGGTGATTTGCGGCGTTGACACTCAGGATAGCCCATAACGAATTTTCGAACGAAATTATACATTCCGCGCCAGTAGAAGCGATGGCGAATGCGTTCGTAGGTTTTGAAAACTCCGGCATGACCACATTGGGAATCGTCGTGAAAGGAGGCGCAGATTTGTGATCGCAAGCTGCGCGGGACAACCAAGAGCCACTTACGACCTTCGGGGGCGTAGTTGCGTCGGTGTAGCAGCCGATCACGAATGGCGAAATGAGCAGCTTGACGTCGGAGAGATCGTGGTACCGCAGTGGTTGACGATCCAGAAAGACAGTTAAAAAGGGAAGCGATCCACGGGTCCTGGTGTTGTTCACTGGTAAAGGAGTCGAGGTCGAGAGATGCGATGGAGTTGGTACCAGTGGTTCCACAGGCCGAGTCGGGAGGTAAAGGCGAACGCGACAGGGCGTCGGCGTCAGAATGCTTGCGTCCGCTGCGATAGATGACACGAATTTCGTACTCCTGGATTTGCAGTGCCCACCGAGCTAGGCGGCCAGAAGGGTCTTTCAATGTGGCGAGCCAACAAAGTGCATGGTGGTCCGTCACCAAGTCGAATGGGCGTCCGTACAAATAAGGGCGGAACCTGCGAAGCGCCCACACTAGCGCCAAGACTCTTTTTCAGTGACGCTGTAATTGGCCTCAGCTTTAGTAAGTGTGCGACTCGCATAAGCGACGACGTATTCGGAGTAGCCCGGCTTGCGTTGGGCGAGGACGGCGCCTAGACCGACCCCACTAGCGTCTGTGTGAACTTCCGTTGCAGCTGTTGGGTCG